CCTGAAATGTCACATCTGCATCTCCCAAATTGTATTATCATTGCCACTCAACACAAATGGGATCACGCTTGCAGTGGCACACTCAGGTGCCGCATATCTGCTCAAAAACTCCAGCCTTCTTAAACACATTACCTATCTCTCCTCTCTGCACTACTTTCCACTTAAGCAATAGAGTTCAAAATTTTCTTCAAGATAGTCTATGTCCTGTGGCAACATCTAAAAAAACAACTTTCAGGACGGGGACTGTTGCAGATCTCCCTGCCTCACACTCCAGCTAAAGGAGGCATTTCTACTTTCCCAGTAGTAAAATGACATCATGGCCAGGTAGGAAAATCCCCAAGCTGAACACTGTCAAAACCCTGCCCTGCAGTCAGAGTCCTCCCATTTGGTGTGAGGGAAGAGAAAACCAACTGTAACAAAAGCAGTGCTTCTCAGTAGAGGGTGTCATGGTAATAACAGTCAGAAAATTATGCGTGCAACACCAAAAAGAAGTGCAGCGACGCTGCCCATCCTGCAGCTACAGGACTAACAGTGCGAATGCTCCTACTGCTAGTAGGCAGCACGCTGTTCTGCATAGCTCAGCCCCATTTTGAAGAGTATGGTGAACCACCTGCACCGATGCAGCTGATGCTCTTTGGAGAATACTGCCAGTCCTGCGGAAATGTTGGTGACCCTTTACTGTCCTCCTGCACTGACACAACCCTGCATCACTTACTTCAGTGTAAAACACTCTAATCATCAAAATGAAGAAAGGAAAGGAGGAACTTCTGCCTTTTCGGGTTTGCTCCCCCATCTCCGCTGGGGATTCCTTTACCGCAAACAGCCCAAGTATTATTGCCATTCTCAGTAGCAATCACTCTGTCCCCTCCTCTCCCACAAACCTACTGCTGATATTAGCCCTGATCATACTAACAAGCCTGTGGGTTTTATTACTACTGATACTAATAATACTGGACACATTATGTCTGCTCCCACCAATAACAGGCTGCAGATATGATCCCTGCTAATGCCAATAATACTGGGGGATATTATCTCTGCCATTGTCAGCACTGCAAATATTATTGCCAGTAATGCTGTCAAATACTACAGATATTGTCAGGGACCAAGATTAATAATGCTGAGAATGTTACAGCACCAGCCTCACTAGAAGATGAATCCCAAATCAGAATTTGGTTGTCTAGAGGAAGTCTGTTTGTGGCCTGCTATGGAGAGAAAGAGCTATTGCAGATAAGAGTAAAGATCCCAAAAGTTTCACCCAGCTGGAGATGCTGTAGTATGCAGGGAACAGTTTGAAATATTGTTTGCTTATTATCTAATTATCTGTCTATCTATCCATCTATCCGTCCTTCCCTTTCTCCCCATCTCTCCCTTTTTCTTCTTACACAGTGCTCAAGACTACAGCATGACTAATACTAATTTTTTGTTAGCACCTCTGGGTCACCCCAATTCTCATCCTTTGACCTACCAATCAAGGGGCTATGGAACAACAGAAATATTTGCTTATTATTTTTCCCCTTTATCCTTCTGGACTTATTGCTGCTCCTTAGTGTGACAATGACTCCACTGAGTTTGGCCTGCCATCACAGAGTACAACATTAGGATCGTGAAGAACCAGGAATTCCTGTTTCCAGCTGCAGTTTGATACTGCAAGACCCACAGTGGTCTTGGGAAAGTCATTACAGCTGCAGGGCCACTTCTGCCTCTGGAAGATGGTTTAAATGGTGGGGAAGGTCAGAGATAAACTACAGCAACATTGGTATTGCTCTGCAAGACTGCAAGAAGTGGCACACACTGTGCTACACAAGTGGTGGTGAACTTTTTAAGCCAAATTATTTAAAAAATCATAGGAGACCAACTCTCTGCTTTGTCTAATCTGTCACGGAAGTCAGAGGGTTTACAATCACTGGTCAAAAACTGAAACAAATGGAATACATGGTCTTAACAGGGCAAATCCTGACCATCCTTCCTAGGCACTCACCTGAGGAAGACACACTGACTTTTGAGGAAAGACTTGTGATCTGACAGTTCCTTGCTGCAACTAGTAGACACTCAGAGCTACCTCCCTGCTAGCTCTCTCTTTCAATGCCATAGTCTTCCCAGGCCACCCTTGCAGTTGCAACCAGCACATTTGGTAGGTTGGGATTTCCCCTCTTCCCTCTAACTCCCTGTGAGGGACACACCTGGCTGTCAGCGTCCATCGCCGAGCCCACCTCATGCATCCATCTGGCTCCTTCTGTCCAACTTGGGAGTTCTGCTACATCATCTTGACACATAATTATCTCTCCTCTTCTTAATCATCTGTGCTACTGTCTAATGTAGGCACCAGCTGCAGCAAGGAGGACCTGGGGGAGGGGGGTGTGCTCAGATAGAGGCTCCTCTGTCTTTCTCCCACTCTGTTCCCCCCAGCCATCACAGAGGTTGCTAACAAGGTTTTTAGAACCAGGGATTCAGGAGCAGCTTGGTACTTCCCCCCTTCTGCTGAACTGCATTCCTCACAGAGGAATACTTGCAGCAGAACTAGTCCAACAGAGCAGAAAGAGAGAGCAGTGCTGCTTCTTCTGCCTTCTTTAGGGAAGAGCCACCCCCCAAAATGCTGGGAAAGTAAGTGTGCATTGGGAGCTCATAACGGCTTTTCAATGCAAGAATAAAACCTGCAGTGACAAAACTGCAACAAAATAGTGCTTTGAAGCTCTGGGAAATACTGAGGAGGTGTATGCATCCAGCATGAGCATGAAAGAAATACTCGCACTGGATTTCTTGCCAGGCTTTCCTAATTCCCATCTCAGCTATGAGCAATCAGAGCCCTCAGAGGCCCAGGGGAGATTGCCCAGGAATGAGTGCAGGTCACCAGCTGTGCAAAACCTCCCCTTGGACCCTTCCAGTCTTAGGACCCAACCCTGTCTTTCAGCATTTCTTAAGGACAGTGTGAGCCCAGATAACTCTTGGCTAGGGGTGTTCAGCAGCTGGCGGGGGGTCCCATGCAAGGTTTCTCTGGGACAGGAGTGTGACATCTCCCTGCAGCAGATATCTGAGATGGCAAGATACAGGCTATTCTCTAAGACAGTTGCAGCTGTGTCATGTAACTGCCACCTAAAAGCTAAAGACAAGCAATGTCTACAGGATTCTCCAGTACCTCTTCGATACCTGGTGGGACATGTGGGCTCTTGGCCAACAGCAGGAAGTTGTAGAGTGTTGCTTGCCCTTCATAAATCAAATCTGGGATGAATTAAGGACAGATACAGAGAGTTGTTCTTGCTGTCAATATACCATTGTGAAGTGTCACAGTCTTGTATGGCTGCTTGGTTGTTTCCATGCTTAATTTTACTGCTCAAAAAAACCTAAGTTCTGAGGCTAGTAGTGACTGTGTGGCTGCATCTAAAGTGGGATGATCTTTCCAGGTATTTGGAAAGAATAGCTGCTGAAGCCAGACTGAACTGCTTCATTTCAAAATGATATATGGAGGCACTATGTTCAAAGCTGGTGATCACCATGATGGACTGTATGAGAACAGAGGGTTCACAAAAACCCCAAAGAAATGCCAAGATATTTGCACAACCACTAGAGAAACTTGTCACTCTATTTGAAATGTCACTGTTTCCTGTATATGTAATAATGGGAAATGCTGGAGGGGGTTGCAATGTTTGCAGTCTCTTATTCCAGACATTTTTTGACTTTGAGGCATTGACTCAGGCCTTCCATTGCTACACTTGTCTCTTAGCTGGGCCCTACTGCCATCTAGCTGGGAAATGGATCTTCCTCTGGGGCCTGATCCAATTTCCAATGACATCAGCAAAAATCTTCCCATTTGCTTTTAACAGGAACTGGATTGGGCCCTTGCCTCTAGTTTTTCTTTGTATTAGGGAGAAAGGGGTCACAATGACTGCCTTTTTTTCTTGGGATTATTGTGTTTATTTGGATCCAAAACTTACAGATGTGAACCTCACCAAAACCAATGCTGAGAAAATTACTAGCAAAACCCAAAAATGCAGCATCTCTCTCAGGACAGCTTTCTCTTCTCACCACATATCACAGAGAACCCTCAGCCTTGGGGTTACAGCACACAAAGCACACTGAGCCACCTGTACTGCTAAAAGGTGCCCCCACGCAACAAGCAACCATGGAAAGCAATGCACTGAAGGCAGGGCTGAAACAAACAAACTAGTCAGGCACTACTCTTAGAAGAGTTCACCTCCTCAGTTTTTGAATGCATCAAATTAAAAGAGCAAGATTTAAGAAAAAAAGTTTACAAAGCCACCATAAGAGCACCAAGACCTTAGCCACCCCTCCTGATTCAGTCTATCTAGACCTGAGGCTCCAGCTTTTGGCTCATTTCAGGATTCACTTTGCCCTGAGTGCTTCCCAGCAGGTAGGAAGGAAAAGGAAATAGCATAATCCTAATTCCTTAAAGCCCTAGTGAAAGGCTTCGATAACAACCTTAGGGCCACAGTACTCAGAAGACCTCCTGTTCTGCTTTCAGGCTGTTGCAAGCATGGCAGTTCTTCTGTGATGGATGCTACCCATTGAAAACTGGCCCTTATGATCACCACCTAATGTAGCTCATGGCATGTCACAGGGCAGGAACTTGTTTGCAAGGGGAATGAAAGATAACTCCCACATTGCTGGTGCTTCTCCAAGATGGCATTTTGTTTGAAAACAAGTGAGTCGGGGAAACCATGTTTACCCGCAGTTCAAAGTCCGGGCACCTGCTGGCACCTGGGGAGTTCAGTTCCAGCCGTTTCCAGCAGTGAATGAACTTGGGATCAGCTCCAGCAATGGAGACGGCTCTCTGCCTGCCGAGCAGATGTCTGGAGACGCGGCCTGTCATGCAAGGGCCTCGGAAGAAGAGCATTCCAAGCCAGCAGGGCAGTGGTGGGGAACTGGTCTCTGTTGCTAAAACTGATCTAGCCCCTGGAGCAGCTGCAAACCTTGGCCTGAAATTGGAGCCTGTACATGGGGACAAAGAATATAAAAGGGAGGATGAGCTTCTCCCCTCCCCCTACCTTCATCACGTTTCCTCTTCTCGCCATTCGACCGAGGAATCCCCAGGATCCCGTTAATGGAGTAAGAGCCCACTGGATCATTGGAGGCACTGGAGACAGGAGGGGATGCTGTGCTGGGCACTGGACAAAAGGAAAAGGGAAAAAGGGCCATGAGGAGAGCAGCACAGCACTCAGGGATCCCCCAGCTGAAAGCTACACATGTCACCAGTCTCATAGGAAAGCCTAGGCGCTAAGCAGACTCCCAGTCCCTCACACTGAAGGACTCATACTCGCTCTACTGCTAATGTTGCTGCATCCTGGCTCTGCCAGTCCATTCTTGTACTGTAGCTCCACAGCCTTCCAGTACAGGGCCATTAATAACAAGAAGCTAAACCTTGTTGTTACATCCCAGTTCAGAGCAGGCTTCTCAGTGCATGCCATGGTAAGGGAGTGCAATGCTGCATAGGCCAGATCATTTTCTCTCTGCATTTTTCCACCAGGAGTGCACATGTTCTGTCTTAGCCAGACCAGCCTCTTATGTGTCCATCCAAAACACTCATTGAAAAATTACCTTCTTAGCAGAGGTTAGAAGCACTTCAGTGTTGGGCCAATAAATCCAGTTCCCTACTAGAACAAACAGTGAATTGGTGATATATACTCCAACCCAGATTAGTAAAAATCTAGTGCCTTCCTTTTGCACTGACCAGTGTCAACAGGAAGAGTCCTCCTGCCACTCAGGGCTGTCCAAGATTGCTCAGGAGTTTCCAATATATCAGAAATGACAAGTCATCCAGATTAAAAATTATTACTTCATGATAATCAGGGCTTTACAGTATAGAACAAGTAGAGCTATGCATCCAGGAGACATGCCCATTATGTCCCAGAATGTCCCAGTAATGGGGAGAATATCCCAGTTCTCTTATAGGCCACTACCCATAATTCAACTCACAAAGCACTAACCTGAAGCAATCAGTACCTCGAATACAAGCCTTCCAGGATGGAGCAGAACCTGTCAACACTATCTGATGTAGACCTACACTTCCCAGTACATCCCAGAGCAATAAGAGACTCCAATAGCAGCACTCGCAATCACTATCCCAGCTCAGCCAATGCATTCCCTAGACATTGCACTACTTTTCCAAGAAGGAATATTATCTGCCAACTCCATCTGTTGTGGTCAGTGATTCCTAGTCCAGCAAGCAAGTCCAGATTAAAAGGGCATCCATAAATGCTCTTCTGTACAGGCTCATTAATTCCACTGTGCTCCTGAACACAACTTGTGTACAGGATTATATCTGCCAGTTCTGTCCCATGTAGACCAGCACTTTCCAGTAAATTCTTGTATAGCAGCTGATTCTCAGTAACCAACAGTATCTAAGACAGTGTCCCAGGCCACAAATTAGCTACTGTATTTCACAGTATCCCAGACTACTGCATGATTTTTCCCGCTCTAAATTGTTACTGCACAAAGCTATGCTAGCAACAGCAGACATATGCATCATACAGTCCACAAAGTGAAAAGTACTTCATCACACGTCTAGTACACGACCTTTAAACACAACAGACTACGAGACATCTGGTCACTTTATTACAGCCTCTGTCTTCTGCTCACCTCAATAAACCCATCTCCCCCAGCAGAAAATGCATTTTCTCTGTCAAATACACCCATGGGATACCTGACTGCAGAGCTTGAACAATGAAGAACTCAGTTGTGTGGCATCAGAAATATCTTACCCGTGTCTGTGTATTACTAGCGCTAAGAAACAGACCAGTTCCAGCAAAGGGAGAGAACAGAAATTGGGAGAGAGAGAGGAAAAGAGAGTCAGAGTAAGGAGACAAAAGGTGAAGACTGTTGCTTAGACAGGATAGCAGTAAATACTTCTCTCTAGGGAGGTGAAGGCGAGAGCATGAACGTGAAATGGATGTTAAGTCAAAATCACTTTGGCAAATCCCTACCTTGGGCTGGTTTCTCTGCCATTATTTCCTTCTTTGCAATGCAAGGAGGGAAACGAAGAACAGAAACCTCTGATTTCCACTGAGGTTTCTTTCCCCGCCACCCCCTCCTCTTTCTTTGCTCTGCTTAGCATCTGTTTGTCAGACTTTGTTCCCTCAACTAAGCTTCATCCTCGTTTCCACTTGTCCTGTCACCACCCCTCATGCCAGTCTTCTTACCGATAGTGTGTCCTGGTGCAGTCACACCTGTCCCGCTCCCGTCTGGTGTTGGGTGAAAAGGTTGCTGAACTTTGGTTCTGATGATCCTGGAAAAGAGGAAAACATATTCAGAAGTCAATTGCAACTTCTCTGTGCCTTTGCATACCCGTGATTCCAGCTGTCAGAACCTGAAGGCCTGAACTGAGCTCTGGGTGCAGCATTTGCCTTCTTGTGGTCCTGATTCTACTGCTTTAATGGTCCATTTCCCAGAAAATTGTCCTTGCTTTGCTCTGTCATCTTTTCCCCAAACTTGGGTATTCACTGCATAATTATGGTGCTCACCAAACAAGCGAGGATCTCCTGTATGTTAGCAACTGCATAATTTATGATCTGATCTGCCAGCATGATCAGAAGGCAATCTTTGCAGCCAATAGAGCCACTGCTGGATATACAAATGATGTAATTTAATTTTATTGTGTACCTAAAAAATACTTTTCTGGCATAGAACTGAATGCTTTGAACTGATAGAAGCTTGCCCAAAGCCCTTCCTCTTCATAAATGAGAAGGTGGGAGCAGAAGGCATCTGTAGGAAGTGGTGATGGGATATAGATCATCAGGAAAAAGAAGCTCTAGCAAAGAGGGTAAAAATTGGTGTTTATCAGGTGGTGAATAAACACAACATGGGAACTCAAAAAGATGTCTCAGTGAATGCCATAAAACTCAGAATGCAGCTCAGAATGAAAATAAACTGAACTGTAATTGTCAGTGCTCTGTTTCTTGTTACATGAAATCTTTCACCTCTAGGTCATGGTTTAAATCTAGCTGAGGTCCGTGGTGAAAGAAAATCACTAGCTCCTAGTACTTGACTGGCAAGGTCCCTGTCTACTGGCAGATGCTGGGTATCTGTGACTCAGGAACAACTCTCTCACCAAGGAACTTGGCAAATAAGCATGACCTGTGGAGGCCGTGGAGACGAAATTTCTTTCTGAGATTAAAACCAGCCTCTCTAATTAGGGTGAAGGCTACAGATGCTCTTCAGCCTGAGTTTCTGGAATTCTCAGCCCTGCATTATATTAGCTTTAACTTCTCCCAAAAAATTTCTCTAGAAAGTGAAAGCAAGTAACACATTCTCCCTGCCCATCCCACGGCTTCCCTTAAAGATTCGTTCCAAAGAATAAGTTGGCAAAATTCACAGAGCAAATGTGTGGCTAGTGGACGGCATGGCATGGATAGAGATAGGCAGAGATGTTGAGAGGGGATTTTTGAAAAGTACAACTCCTGAGAGTGAAACCTTCTTAAGAAAAGAGAGGTATTTCAGAACGTATCACCTCAGCATGTTAGGAAACTCCGATACACACATGATGAAGCCTGAGCAGTAGCTGGAGTGGCAGACAGGCTGCCTGGGATGTAGGTGGAGACAGGGAATGTCAAGGTTCTAGCTGGGGATGGAGATCCAGATCCTCACCCTGTATAGGTTGGTGGTACCAGGGGCCCAAATCTATACCTGCTGAGGTCCTACTACACAGAAGGTGTCTGAGGGCCTCAGGGACAGATTCTGAGGTCATGCTGACTTGCACTAGTTGAGGAGCTGATTCAAGAAGTCTGTGCTAGGGCAAATGCTACAATTTTTTTCTTCTTTTCTGTTTTTTTCCTTTCTTTTCTCTTCTCTTCTCTCACGTTCCCCCTAAAACCCCCTGAAGTGCCACTCTGGTTGTGTGAGTTTATTGATTTCCCCCAACCCAGAGAAACAGAAAAAGGGGATTGGGGTGCAGGCAAAGGGATGGAAATAGAAAGCTATAAATTATTTGTGACAGGAAAGCAATAGTGCCAGAGTGCTGAGCACAAGTCCCGTGTCACTATTAGATTCCTTTTAGCCTGATGACACTGTAAAAGAGGTTAAGTGTCTGATGGAATCGTACACCTTGGGGGCAGGGGCAGTCCAGGAGCAGAACAAGGCACAGAGAGCGGGTATATCAATTCTCCAGGCCAATAATATTCCCCTCATTGATCGCAACACAAAGTTCAAAAATCTCATTATAGCCAGGCAGACCTGGAACTTTTTAAAAATCAATAGAGTGATATAATGTATGTATACTTTGTATAAATGTATCCATCCATCCATCCGTCTATCCAAAATCTGCCTGAGGGTGTCTAAGTTAACCTACACATATATTGTAGTATAGCATAGTGAATGGATTGGAAGATTTCCCCTGCAGCCTTAGATGACATATTATAAAACGTCCTGTTAGCACTGAGGTGACATCAGATGGTCCCATTCATACTGAGATATGACATCAGATTCACCATTCGTACTGGGAGATGGCATCAGACAGCTGAGCTTCTACTGAGGGGAACCGTAAGATGAGCCTAATTATGCTGAGATGGCCAATCAGACTGTGCTGAATCATGCTGCATGAAAACTGCAAAATTTCAAAAAGCCATTTTGAGAAAAAACAGCCTGTGAAATGACGGTGGTATAAAATGCCTGTCCCTAATGCTTCAAAAACTCAGGCAGGGGATGAAGAGGAAGGTTCAATTTCCTTCCCTGTTCAGTTCATGGTCTCTCAGCTGAGAATGCCAGTTAGTGCCAGCTGTGACAGTGTTTACTGCGATGTGTCCATTAGGAACTGGAATGAGACTCACCAGCTCATTTCACCAAGTAGCTGTCAGCTGGTAATGATTTTCGGTCACTACCAACCAGGGCCAGATTTCAGTTAATGACCCAGAGGTGAAAGGCTCTGTTCAGAAATGTTCACCTCCTAAGAATGAAACGGGTTTTATGTCAAGAGAAAGTGCCTGGAAACAGTGAGCAAAGGGGAACAGTTCTGGTTGTGCAACCTTCAGTGGCTTGGGTCAAATAGTTCTTGGCATCAAATGCACAGTGAATCTCAGACAGAAGGTATTTCCGGTGGCTAAAAGAAGAGACAGGTCATGAAGAGGCTCTCCCCAGCAGCGCTCCTTCACCGTACAGTTACGACCAAACTCTAGTGTTGTAAGGAAAGAGGAGAAGTTGCAGGACCCTAATGCTCAGTAGGAATATGGCAGTGCATCCTCCTGGGTCGATTCATTTAGGAACAGTGATAAACAGCAGGATAACTAGGCATCACTGCTGCTGCTTTAAGAGGCTTCAAGTGAGTCTGTCCTACACGAGACCATCTAATGAAACAGCACATGAAAGAAACAGAGCTGACCTGGTCCTGTAGCAACAGATGCAGCATAATAATGCTGTCTTTAGACCTCGGGATTGCTGAAATCTTTTCACCCTTACCAGAGACTGAAATATGCACTAAGCCAGCTCTGCTGCCGCAAACCTAGGATTTCTGGATTACTGCTGTGTAAGAGGGAGCAAAATCTTGATCACCTCTTGCAGCCTTTGATGGCTTGTTCTTGCCTCAGACACTGCAGAAAGACAAGCCTTTTTGTGAAACACTTCCTCAGGCCTTCCTAAAAGCAGAAGGGACACAAATCCTGCAAGACCAGTCAGCAGTGCTGACTTCCTGAAGTACACGCTCATATTTTCAAACATCTTTCTTTTCTCCAAAAGAAATTGTTGCTTCAGACTAAATTCATCCCTGCTCTAATTCCATCACAGTCAGTGACTCCAATAACAGCGTTTGTGTTTAATTAGGGGCATAAACTGGTACTTTCTGTAAATTCCCCTTTTTCATTTTCCAGTGGGAGGTTTTTGCACAAGTTGTCTGCTTTGAGTTTTGGAGAATATACACAAATTTAATACATAACCTTCTGAAGTTTCAGCAACAGGACATTTATAGATCTTTGATTGCAGTAAAGCAACTGAACTTCATTTCACAATCTGAATTTAATATGCAATACTATCCTAAGTAATGGCATATAATGTCATTACAGTACATAGTATTGTACTGTGAATTATACATCCATACCTGGAATTCATGTGTTACCATAGTTGGCTTGTAGAAACTCTTTCTAGAGTTAATACTGCATACAGCTCCAGCTGAAACGAACTGCCTGTTCCCAAATACCTTTGACTTTCTTAAACGTTCAGCATTAGATCATGAATTTCCAATGTTTGATTTCTATTTCGTTATTTTCAGCAGTTTTAATGCAGTTTCTTTCACTGATTCTGAATACAGATGGACAAACAAAACTCATCTCTCCTAATATGACAGTTGTAACAAGCTCTAATCAAAACTGGTCAAGAATGTAGAAAGAAATATTAGAAGTTAAAATTAGCTGAGCCATATTCCTTTGTGAGAAGCTTAAAATTTGTTTCATTCCATGTAAATAAGCAAGTAAAAAATCACTTCTAAACCTATCCAGAAATTATTTGCTAAAAGAATGGCAGATCACAGGAAACATCCCTCACTTCTCTGACTTTTTTATCCAAAGTCTCTTATAGCCTGACATACTCTGTGGTTTCTCCTCTATTACTATTGCTGGCAGAGTCTTTAGACAGTATCTCAAATTAAAAAATCATACTAGGGCTGATCAGAGGGAGATGAGGTATGTTTGAATCATCTGGAGTCCAATCTAGCAATTCTTTTAATCCTGGAAGAACAGAGTGAAGTTGCACTAAGGAAAAGAGTGGCATGTCCTGCTGCCCCAAGGAGACCCTGACAGATTTCAGAAAGCACTGATATCCTCACTTTGGTCATATTCCTTTGTCATGGATTATATTTCAGAGTGGAAGGATACACTCAGCAGAGCACCAAAGTCCTTGTAATTGTTTTGGAGCATTCATATTTTAAATGCTCCATATTAGAAGCACATTACAAGACCCCAGGGTGTGCATTACTGGGCAATTAAAGCAGTTCTTGGAAGGCTAACATTGCAAGGCTTCAGCCTTTTCTCTGCTGTGTGTCCAAGGGAGGCTGTGATAGCCAAGGAACACACACCCTGCTGTGCCACACCACTTAATTAGCACAGGGCTGGACTGCTGAGCCACGGGCTGTGCTGGCGGTAGAGACAAGGCAGCCTGCAGGGGACTTGGTGCAGGGCTAAGTGAGACAGTGATGCTTCTCTGTGTCAGACTGCTTCCTACAAAAGGGCTCATGACCATCCCAGTGATGCTGGCATCAAAGCATGCCTGAGGAGAAGAGGGAGAATGTGGGATGGGAAGAGGCAGCTT